GACTAATCATTTGGAATGACCTTGCAAAACATAAATTCACTAGATAAAAATAAAATAAAGATTTTGTTATCTTTGTATCGGCTTGTTCGTGGAACGCCACACTTCGCTGATTAAGTCTTTGAGAAATCTATTTTTCTTCGAGACGGAGAGATCTAAATATATTATTAGATACAGGTTTTTTATGCTGATTATGAGTTTTACATTTTTTTAAATCGGAATTTTAAACTTTTCAAAAGTTCTTTTTGAAATTTCCTAACCAAGAACTTTTTCAAAAATGTTGAGTGACATACCATTCGATACAGAATTTAATTTTCTACAAAGTAGCATTTTCGTTTGTGATATCGATCGGTAAGGAAAACCTGTACATTCTTGTACAGTTTTCCACTTACTGTATAGTTAATCAGCTCCCATTTTGATGTAGCAACTTGATTCTTGCATTGAACGGTTAATGTATGATAATGACCAATAATTTTGAAAATTAAATATGCATATCTGAGCATGTTGAGTACCTCAAAATTGATCGACAAGAAACACTATAATAGCGTTATGAAAAACGTAACGCTGCTATGTTTCTTTTTTGCAGTCTTTGTTTGAACAAAAATAGTTTTAGAAACTCTTTTTTATCGCTGATAAGATTGTTCGAATATCTACAAAACTCTCTGTAGAAGTGTTTCAGTTGGAGAAATACTTTTGCAAGAAATTAGAGTTTTATTAGCAATGTTGAAGAAAAATGATCGTTTTGTGTAACAGCGTTACACGACAATAAAACTTTCCTAGAAACCCAAGAGTTCAGCCAAAAAAGATTATTCATATAGCATAAACAGGTTATGAGAACTACTAATGGAACATCTTGTAAGAAAGATCTTGGCTAAGATACAAAGCACAGAAAAATGAACAGATCTTGACAAATTTAGGCACAAGATAATGTGGTTATTTTATAGCAAGATTTGTAATTAGGTGTTAAATACAGATTTATTTGATGTAATCAAGATATAAGAATGTGACATTTCTTGCCCAAGATCTTCAAATCTGGTTCAAGATCTTGAGCTATTAATAGTTGTTAAAGATTATTTTGGCACTGGTTGGAACTATATTGTGCTGAAGTGCTCGAGAAAACACGATCTTTATTCAGTAGTGTTTATGAGAGTAGCGATTTCGATCGTTTTTCGAATAGAAAATTAACCTGTGACTTGGCTCCTTGTATTTGTAGGAGAAATCTGACTTTAGATTCATATTCAGCGTCAAATTTTATATCGGAGAAGCAATATTTCAGAAGTCTATCAAGGCATCCTTACATGAATTGTAGTGATCGTTTTTGAAACATGTATATTTCAGCCAAGATTGTATAAATCTGTGCCCAAGATCTAATTTCAGATCTGACTACAAGGTAATCACATTATCTTATACCTAAATTTGCGAAGACCTATTCACTTGTCGGTACCTTGCATCTTGGCCAAGATCTTGCTTACAAGATGTTTACCTAGGGAATACGTCGAATAGCGTTGGAACGAACTTTCTAGGTCTCAAACCTTTCGAGATAATTGACAAAAGGGTCAAAAATGTAGCAGTGTTACGTTTGCGCAAACCAATATAATCTTTAGACGTGACCCTTTCAGATGGAAAAACATCCAAATGGACTCAACGTTTCATTGCTGAGAAATTCATATCGACATTTTTCCAAAGACTTTTGCGCCTCTTATTATTTATCGAAAACGAAGGGTATCATTGCATGAAGGTTTCGATATCTTATTATACTCTATAGAAAAAAAGATTCTTCCTTGGAAATTTCCAATTGAAATAATTTAAAACTATTTTATTGTTTATGTTTGTTTTACTATTTAAAGAAAATATAGCACCTGCTATGCAAGATGATCCAAATTCATTATATCAACGTCCTCGATCATTTTCCACTGTAACAACTCGAGTATCAAGAACACTAAGTTTTATAGGTCATCATTCTGATAGCTCATCAGATGAAGATGATGATAAGAAGGAAACAACAACAAATGAAATCGAAGAAAAATCAATCGGTCTAAGTGGAAAAGATATTGGTTATTCCGTTTCATATGATAAGACGGTTGAAGATTTTAGTTTTACAAGTACACGTGAACAAGCTCAAAAATAAATTTTACGTGATCAAAAAGAAGGGATATTACAATAAGCCAAAGGACGAGAATAAAAAGCTTACATATTATTCTTTTTTTCTTATGATTATTTTCTTTAAATTGCCTCTCTATTTGTTCCCTTTTTATGCTAAGGAAAACAACAAAAATAAAAAAAAATTGTTTTGTCAATCCGTACGATGATTCTACTTTGATTATGATGGTTACTTGATACTTTGTTCTAAACTAATGTCTTTCTATTATAATGATAGAAATTAAGAAAAAGAGACGAACATTTATTTTGAGATCTGAGTTTCTTTATTTGTATGAGCCATTCCACATAAACCACAGCCAATTCTTTATGACAGCGCTTAATCGATATCCTCCGATTTGACTCATTTTCACATATGTGATAGAGACAAATATTTGATGAATTTTGGTGAAAGCTGATTCAAAAAATGTTAAACCATTCGTTTTTTATCGCATTTTTACTGAAAGCACTATAAAATGACTATAAAACTCACTTTCATGAGGGACGATTTTGTACATCCCAAAAAATCAAGAAAACATCAACCGTTTGTGCTGAAATTTTTTGTACATCAATACCTAACTAACGAGGAAACATTCCCAACTATCACATCGATTTTGAGTCGAGCATATGGACATCATGTAGACCCTAATGATCTATGAGTCCTCTGAAAAAAAGTTCATGCCACTAGCTTCTTACTGCTGAGATATAGCATTTTTACTACATGTTTAAGAAAAAAGTCGTGATTCTCCTCAGGAACACCAGGAAAAGTGAGTTTTGAGTTTCCAGCTGAAACTTTGCATGTAGACAGGCCTCAATGAGAATAGTTCATTGTGAAGGTATTAGATCTTTTGTTTGCTCCTAGTCCGAAATAAGAACATTGGATCTGCTGGTGTATATGAGCAATTTTACGGTAGCTGTATCTTAGGATAGGAACAATGAAAAGAGCTGAAACTTTCACAATAAAATATTCTCATTGAGGCCTATATCTGTGCAAAGTTTCAAGTCGAAATTCGAAATTCAGTTTTCCCAGTGTTCCTGAGGGGGACCACAGCTTTTTTTTCTTAAACATACAGTAAAATCGTAGTATCTTAGTAGTAATAAGCTAGCGGCACGAACTTTTTTCAGAGAATTCATAGATCGTTAGGGTCTACATAGTGCACATACGTTCGACTTTAAAGCGATGTGACAGTTGAGAATGCTTCCTCGTGAGCACATTTGAGTATCAAACAAGCCATGTGAGTCGTTTAACTGATGATGAAACATGAACATTTCGGAGCGGAGCTCTTTCAGTGGACAAAGAGAGTCTATCAAGTTATCGTGATACTCATCCTGACAACAAAGCTAGCAGTGTGTCAGCTGAAAAGACAGTATCATGCAACTCTTTTATGGATGATGTATAGACCGGTCTGTTTTTTCTCACTAAGAGCAACGATTATAATACGAACATCACTTCTAAGTGAGATTACAATTCGACCCCTGTCAGCCGTCCGCAAGATATGTTCACACCATATTTATCAATTCTTTCTAACACTGACAGTGAACGACATCATGGAAGAAACGAATCATCTGGTTTGTATTAATTATAACTTTGGGTTAACATAGAACTAGGCTATTTTAAGATGATATGACGATCGATGTGGTGGAAACAGAGACCAACACCACGGGCAACGTGGAAATTCCAGAGAATATCCGCTATAATGAATGTTGCCTTTTCGGTAATAAGACAGTACATGAGTGTGAACCAAATGCACACCGTGAGTTTTACAGATTAATGAATTCAGAGGTATATATATTTTGCTGTCAAAAAGATCACTATGGCTGGTCGCGAGAATGTGTTACTTTTGCTCACCTCCTCGAGTTTGATATTCGATCATGCTTAAAACAGAATAGAATCATTTCCAAAACGGAAGACGACAATATTGCTACGAATGAAAAAAACTTAATTGCCAATCGATTGCTTCGGAAAAGCATCCTTGTTGACGATAATATGAAAATTTGTTCCAAGCATCGAGCTTCTTTTGGTATCGATTGGTTTAATAAAAACATGACATATCACCATCCGGAGCACGACTTAAGCTACGGGTTCATCAATAAAAGACTGACGAAGAGTGAAGCTCACCACTTGTCTCAAGATTGAAGGTTTTCCAATAGGGGACAGGTAAGTTTGTTCTCATTCAGTGCTAACCTAGATGAGTTAACAAGTTGTGCTTTAAGATTATGTTCAAAACACCGAAAGCTGGTATTGTTGGTCGACAGTATCACATTGATGATGAGTAATGCCGTTTCTATTAGTGCAGCTTCTCAACATACAGCTGGATCTGCATTCGTGATCGATGATCGACAAGAAACGATGAATTGCATTCTTGCAGAAGTGAATTTAAGTCCAGTTCGATCTTAAACAACTAAATCAATAAAAAACCAGTCAGAAAAGGTCTTCATCGTTTATTGTCCAAATTCGCACGAGGATCAAGAGCTCTCCAATGTATATTATGAATCAAATAAAAATTATACTTAATATTGAGGTAATTAAATTAATTTAGACAAACTAGTTGAGACACTCATGTCTGGCCAAGGCCAAGAACTAATTCAAATAGCTCAGCTTCAATCACAAGCTAGAGAAGAACAACAATTTCAACTATCAATAAGTAATGAAATGGTTCAATGTCTCAAACAAGTCTATGATATATATGTCAAACAGAAGATGCCTTTCGTCGAGTAAGTTCGACTCTTTTCATTATTATCTTGTTCATGGAAATATGAAAAAGTAATGAATATATTTGGGTGTACCTGACATGCTGTCACAGCAGCTCATCAAATGTATGACGATGAAGAGTACCTGTTAAATAAGGACCAAGAACCGGTTATCCGACAACATACTGATCATGAAAAGATCAAACACTTTGTTAGTTGGCTTGCTGAGAGTAACACACTTGTCCCAGGTAGAGTCTATTTTTTTTTGTCATGCTCCTTTTCGTATTCATCTTTTTCTTGCTGGCAGGCACATACGATCTCACCACTTTACGTATGGACAATGAAGAAAAGTACGAATTGTAGAAACAAATTATACAGTCACAACGGTCACATGCTCTTGTAGATTACAAGAGGTACTGTGACGAAACTGGATTTCAAAGTCTAGGAAAGAGTAAATTGTACGATATAATCGATAGTATCAAACCAGCAGAACAACGAACAGTGGCTGGACTTGATGAGTTTGTTATCGAAGGCATAGAAGCATGACGATCTCTTTCAAGTAAGGAAAAAGAATTAGGATTATCAGCGGTGAAATCAAACTTATTTCTATTTGTAGATATTGCCGAGACTATGCCCATTCCTCAAGCTGATCGAAAATGTCTGGTTAAACAGATCGATATGGCAGAGCAATATAAAAAAAGCAGGCACATTGGTCATTATTCTGGTGATGCGAATTAAATCACTCACTGTACCACATTTGGTCTCTCTAATCCCAAATGTGCTGAGCATCATTCAAATTGTAATCATGCGTATACGGCTTACTGTCCTGACTGTATCAATATTATTGTGACTCTCGACGAGATCAGTCAGAAAATCCAAAATATTTCTGACAAGGACATTGAACGTGAAGCCAGATTTGATTTCAAGAATGCATCGGAGCATATTGTTGAGTAGTCACACGCCACAACCTTCGTGCTGCTCGTTAAGATGTCGAGAAGAAATCGATTATTTCGCAAATGGACAAAGACGAAGCTTTCTGCACATTTGACTGAGATCAAAAAACTTTACCCCAAGAGCATCGAGAGGCTCAAAGTATATATTTTGGAAAAAAAAGGAATACCGGTCCTTGTGGGCTCGTTCATTTGAAAAGATCGAGTACCGAGACTTGAGAGCACATCTACCACTATAACAAGTCTTTCTCCTCCTACATATTCTACTGAATCATAATACCAAAAAAACTCGGTTCCTACGTGCATTATCCTGATAATATACAACCATATTATTAAACGCTTTGTTTTGGTTCAGAACAAGTTTACATTTCTACTACTTAGGTAGCATGAAGTAACGATGAGGTTTACTACGAAGACCATAGATTCAGCAACTATCGATGAGAAAAGTTCCAGTTCGATCAGTTTAAGCGTAAGGAAAAACATAGAAGAAGAATGACTAGGTTTATTTTCATCCTATAGGATTCGATTAGTTCCCAGATCCAAGCATGGTGAGAACTTGACTCTAGCATATATTTTACTTTGTTGTCTGAGATCTATCATCCCAGAAAGTTTCAAATTTCTCGGATGAACCATTCACGAGATATTCAGAAAAACTGGGATATCAAAAATGAAGTTCATAAAATTCATTTTTTTGTATAAAAGATCGATCGATTGCTAAACGGCTCATGTGCGTCCCAAATTTATTTTAATGCCAGGTTGTAGATCAAAGTGTGGTCTTTAAAGCTGGATAGATGGGTAAAAAAGTTAGAGCTTGTTTTGGGGAAAAATTGAGGTCAAAGGTTGGCTTTTTGACGAAAAATTGATTTTTTGTTCCAGTTACCCAGCACGAATACTTTGCTCTAGAGAGCTGAAATTTATGTGATAGTTAGGCAGCATTGAGATGTGCTTGTGTTCAAAATTTTAGGTCTCTATCATTCTCTAATCTGGAGATATGAAGAGCGAAAGTTGCTCAAAAAATTGATTTTTCCTCAAATCGTGGAATCCATAAAATACCAACGACTCAACCGTTCGAGCTGAAATTTATGGTATGTGTAGAACTTAGTTAGGTATTGATGTGCAAAAACTTTCAGCATAAAGGTTGATGTTTTCTTGATTTTTTGGGATGTACAAAATCGTCCCTCATGAAAGTGAGTTTTATAGTCATTTTATAGTACTTTTAGTAAAAATGCGATAAAAAATGAAGGGTTCAATATTTTTTGAATGGAACTTCACCAAAATTCATCAAACACTTGCCTCTATCACATATGTGAAAATGAGCCAAATCGGAGGATATCGATTGAGCGCTGTCATAAAGAATTGGCTGTGGCTTGTGTGGAATGGCTTATATGTACACACACATTCAACAGTCGATTTTTGGGCTCTTAGCATATGTCTTTATCATTTGTCTGATGATGATGATAATCAATTATCAGAAGATGCAATTAATGTAATTAAAGGTTTACTTAATTATGATCCGATTTTACGATTTCAATTAGACACCATATGAATTATCTATTAATAAATAAATATATTTTGTTTTTGTCGGATATTTATTATTATTTAAATCTGAAAAAAAGAATCTTTTTTTTAAATACAATTGATTGGAAATATTTTGCTAGTATGCAGTACCATTTATTACAGTACCTGATGATGATTCAAAAGGTCTTGTTTTAGCTCGAAATAAAGCAATTGGTTTCGATGAAGAATCGATTGATAATATGTCGATGTAAAAATAATCACTTATGCAAACGGATTGTAACAGTTGATTATTGTCTAGTTATTTCCCTTTTTTTCCATTTATAAAATATATTAGATATAAATGTGTGCATATCTTCCATAATTCTTTTAATATTCAACTACTGTCTCATGCGAAATTTATTTTTTTTCTTATCTTTTTCTTTTTTTTTTGTATTTTTTACTGTTCCATTTTACGCAGCTGAATGTTTAATATGCGTCTGTGTGTGTTAGGTTAAACAATAAAAGAACAATTCAACGAACACAATAAAGAAAAGAAACGAATGATTTGCACTTTTTGTGGAGAAAGAGGCTCGTAGTCATAGCTTGCTTTTAAATAAATGGCACACAATGTAAAGAAGAAAGAAAAAGAAAAGAGAAAAAACAATCATATCATACTGTTTTCACGAACACAACTAATCCACTATCATGACTGAAAGTAAAAATCTAGCTATCTAATTTGTATTATATCATATGAAATTTGTTTATTTATTTAGATCGTCCAGGTTTGTCAATATTAGGTGAAGATGAAGAACGATCAGGTATGGATGTAAATACTGGAATAATTACTCGTGATGATCAACAAGAAGAATTAGAACCATTAGATGAACTTGAAGATATTGCACCAAGTGTAAAAACTGATGCAAATAAATTTCGTATGTTATGTGATAATGTTCAAAATAGTTATTCTGAGATTGATAATTCAATGTTTGAATTACTTGAATTAAAAGATAATTTACTTCTACAATTTTTACCACCAAATGTTTCAACACGAATAACAATTGTTATATCACGATTATATCGTGCTTATTCATTATCTCAAGTACCTATTAATGAACTTGTTCGTCTTGTTCAATTATATAGTCAACCATTTGATATGAAAAGTATAGCACTAAAAAAACTCTATGATAATAATGAAATGAAAAAACGAATGCTTAATATTGCTTTACAAAGATTAACATCAATGGAAAATAATACTAAGCATCATCAACATTTAAGATGTATTAATAATTGGGAGAAAATGTTAGTTCATTTTATAGATTTCAAGTTCAGTAAAAGAAAATTTTCTTTTTTTTTTCAGGTATATTCGTCTTGCATTACCACGATCAAATGTACGCAAATGGAAATTTCGATTAAAAACATTTCGAGAAGTAAATGAATAACAAACGAAATTATTTGCATACAAAAATAAAAGATTCATTCTACTTCATAGACAGCTCAGCTTGGTTATGAACATGTTATTGAATGGTTACATGCTACTGTACCTCGTCCATCATCGGGTGCAGAAGATGTATCTAAAGATGAACCTCTTGATGATGAAGATGAAATTGGTGATGTTGATCAAGTTGAAGCATTAGGTGATATTGTTAGTGTACCAGAAATCGATGAACAACAGCGAATAGAACAAGTCTGTTTATTTTCTTGTTTTCATTGACACTACTGGACAAAAGTATTCCTATGTCCTTAGATCTTAGTCTCTATGAGAACTAAACGTTTGAAAATTCTTGTACAAGTAGCCTACACACAATGCAGATCAACGATAATATCGACACAAAAATCACTCAAATTAGAACGGAGTTATAATAGGTGGTATCTACGGTTACTGAGAGTCTCATAACTCGAGAACAGATAAGCTTTTTCAGTCGTCCAATCCTTCATTTTGTAGCCCTGCGTTATAGCTATTTCTAATATTAAGTTGATCAAAGTTCATTAAGCTATTGACGAATTAGTCCACTTTTGCTGAAAACATGAATATCCAAAAAAAACCATAGAATGCTTTTGAACGGTCAATAACTAAGCGATCGTTTGATAGACCTATCTCAAATTTCGAAAATACGTGTCACAATGATTGTCCATAGTTTTCTAAAAGTTTCAAAAGTAAAAATTTTACCAGAAGAAAATGATGCATTGATCATCATTGCAAACTTGTCAAGACTCTGGAGTCTCCATTACACAAGCAAATGAGATCATATTTTAAGCGATGAAGGATCATAAGTTGGAATACAATTTCATGTTAAAAGATCGATACTCACTTATATATTACTTTAAAAACAACGAATAAATGTGTAAACCTATTTTTCGCTTTTTTTCTTTACTGTTAAAGGGAGCTACTGTCTTCATTTATCAAGGTTCAACTGAGAAAATCCTTTTGAATGGCTTTAGAGTTTTATTGGCCAACAGAAATCATCCTATTCTAGACATCTATAGAGTTCTCCGTGTGAACTTTATACAGAATTACGGTATATAAGGATACATTTTCTAAAATGTTATATAGAAAGATTATGTATTTAAGACTTTCGAAGATAGTTATCCTCAAAATTTGAGATGGGTCTATCAAACACTCACTGAGTTATTGACCATTTAATGGCATTCTATGAGTTTTTCTGCATATTCAACTTTCCAGTAAAAGTGATCTAATTCGTCAATACTCTGATGATCTTCGATGAAATTTATATCAAAAATAACCATAATACAGGGCTAGAAAATAAGAGATTAGATGACTTAAAAAGCTTATCTGTCCGCGAGTTATGAGACTCTCACTGATCGTAGATGCCACCTATTATAACTCTGTTCTAGGTTGAGTGATTTTTGTGTCAATGTTATACGCTGACCTACATTATATGTGAGCTACTTGCAGAAGAAATTTCAGAGGTTTAGCTCTCATAGGTACAAAGATCCGAAGAAATAGGATGCTTATGTGTAGTAGTGTACATTTATATAAATTTTATTATGTAGGGTTCAGATTTTGGTGATGAAATTGGAAGTGATAATGAAGGAAGTTTCTTGAGTAGTGCTGGAAAACACAGAGCCAAACAATTAGTTGGATCAGCTGAATTTAAAGAAGTTAAACAAACACAACAACAAATAGTTGTGCCAAAAGTTGATGTTGATATACAAGTACGACCTAGTGTAGATGATCAACAAACATCAACTGGAGATATTCTATCAACAAAGTAAATAAAATTAGTAATTGAAATAAAGATTTTGTATAAGAAATTATTTTCTTAGATCACTTATCATACGTATATATCGACCTGTCGGACTTTTGAAAACAAAATTTCAATGTATCATTCATGCTCACCAACAAAAATATACAACAACTGTATTCATATTTGATGTATTTATTATTTTTATTTTTATTTTTAGACAAACTTTGTCTATTCGTTAATGTTTTTAGAAACCAAATACTTCAAAAGATGATAATACAAAAAATAAAGGACGATTATCAACTAATCGAGTAACAAAACCTGTTGATCCAAGTAAAAATCTTTATTCTTCTATACAATAACAAAATAACATAAAAATTGGACATTTTTTTTTCAGAAACTAAAAAACGTAGTGGAGATTCAACAACGCCTGATGATGTTGATATAAATACTATTGATAAACAACAATTTGATGAATTACTTATTCCAATGCCAAGTGTTCTTAAACGTCGATCATTATTTGAAACTGAAATTGATCCTGATGCTATACAAATAGATCTTCTTGGCGATGAAAAACTCTGTGGATCATTAATACTTTCACCTGAAGATTTACGAATGCTTGTAAGCAATAATCAAAAATTAACAGTTTTTTTTTTGTTTGAAAATAAAATAAAAATCTAACAACATTTTTAGGATCTACCCAATTTGCATAGTCCAACATCTGCACCTTTGATAACTATTGATGATAGTGTACCAAATGTATCAAAACCCGTATTAAAAAATGATCAACTTGATTTTGACCAACAATCAAACGAAGTTTATAAATCATGGATTTCTCGTACACCACAAACATTTACAGCTTATAATGACAAACGTGAACCTATTGCTAAATTACCGTTACATATGTTTTGGTATAATAAAGTTCAAATAACTCATGCAACAAAATGCACAAGTAAATCATAGAATCTTGTATTATATAAAAAAAAACAAAGCAAAAATTCAATATTTCTGTCTAGTGACTGCTCCTATGGAAGTTCGTGTACCAACACCTAAAACAGTGTATGTTCCTCAAATGTTAACTCCAGTTGAAACACATGAAAAAGCTGTATCACCCGTTGTAACAACACCAACATCAGTTATTGAGCAAAATACAGAACCAGCTCCTAGTCGTTTAACAATGGTTGATGATCATGTAGAAAGTATTAAAGCAACTTATGAAGATAAAATAAATAAACTTCATGAAAGTTATCAGTATGTTATTCGTGATTTTCTTTTCGATTGTGACAATATATTTACATATATATATATATATATAGAGCAGAAATTCGTCGATTAACTAAACTTCTTAATGAAATATCATCTCGGCGTTCAAGTCAAATGGCTGACTTATCAGAATTGGATGAAAATATTCGTGAAATTGTTGAAGAAGAACCATCCAATATAAATACACGGTAGAATATTTCAGAAAAAAAAACATTAATTTCGCATATCGGATATATTTTTATTATTCTAGACGACAAGTCAGACAACAACCAAAACGTGCAACTGCTATCGAAAATCAATCAGTACCAACTTATGGTAAAGGTCTTCCAAAAAAAGTGAGTTTTGTTTTTTGAAAAGAAAAAAACTTAACTAATAGAAAAAGTTGAGATTTATTTAAAGTCAATTCGAATTAATGATTTTACATAAAGTTTACTTTTGTTTTTTTTTTGAATATAAAGAAATTTCTTGAAGTTTATGATTAAATTTTATATTTAGTTTCTCGATCGTTATCATATGTTTTTGGAACGTAGTATGGCACATCGTAATCAATTAATATCTAAAGTTGAACAAGAAACAGCACGTACAACAGAACGTCAAATGGAAATTCAACATCGATTACATAGGCCAGAACAAAATGAAGAACGTTATGATGGTAATATTCTTCTATAGACTATATCCATATATATATATATATAATAATGTAAATAGATTTATGTTTACCTGCGGTTTTTATGCCTTTTCGTTCGGGAAATGTTTTTAACCCAAGAGCTTATCGATTCTTTCATCATGTTGGTATGTATTATATA